CCCCCCCCCCCTCCCCAACCTCCCCCAAACAGTTACCCAGATCCCGCAGGCGCATAAGGCGGCGGCGGCTCAGGCGTCTTAGGCCTATTCCGTCTCTCCCTCAGTCCTTCCTCGCCTTTTCTGGCCCTGCTCCTGCTACCTCTTGGCCTTCGCTGGGAACTCTTCTCTTCCCCGCTTCGGGTGGAGTATGAGGAGGACCGTTGGCGCGCGTGTGTGTGTGGGGGTTGGGAGTTGGGGGAGCTTGTCGATTTGGAGGGAAGGGAGGGGATAGAGGGAGGGGAGAGGAGGGAGGGGGAGGGGCTTGTTTGAGTGTGAGTGGGCGGTTGGCCGGGGCTGGAGCTGTAGGACGGGGATTGGACGTGCGAGAGGAAGGGGCTGCCGCTGCCGCTGGCGCTTTCTGGCCTGGTGGAGGGGAGTGGGCTAGGCTGGTAGGTCGTTGCCGTGTGGGCAGGCGGGTGGGCGTATGGATGCGGGTGGGAGTGCGGCTGGGACTGAGGGTGCGGGTGTGGGTGGGAATGTTGCCCCGTATCCAGCCTAGGCAGGCTAGGCCGTCCTACACGGGTGTACGTTTCCCCCGCCTGCGCCTGTGCACTCCCATTCCCATTCCCAATTCCGTTCCCAATTCCATGAGAGGTATCAGGATCCATCATCCCCAGCCGAGGCAGAATAGGCAGAAGAGGAAGAGGAGGAGGGAGCGGGTGAGGAGGGAGAGGGTTAAGGATCAACGTTCCCCCCTCACTCTGGTTCAAGAATTCTGATGCGCGTCTGCCTCCTCCAGGACCAAGGCCTCCAGAGGCTCCGGGGCCTCCGGGGGGTCCGGGGGCTCCGGGGAGGCCAAGACCGAACGGATCCTGCCCTTGCCCCTGCCCCTGCCCCTGCGACTGCGACTGTCCATATCCCAAGGGCAGAACAGGCGACCCCCCAAGGATGAACGCCCTGCTCTGTCTTTTTCCCCCTTCCCTTTCCTTCTCCCTCTCCCTCTCCCTGCCGTCCCTCGGACTCTGCCCACTCCCAGCACCAGCACTCTGGGGTGTCCAAACCGGCGACGGGAACTCAGGTTTGAGCGGATAAGCGCTGTATGGCGAGCCAGTGCCATTTCCAGTGCCAGGGTTGACCGCACTAGTACTAGTAGGGTGGGAGGCAGTGTGGGAGGCACTGGCACTGGGAGAGGTTGGATCGTCCCATCGGGACCAGAGCGAGAGATGTTTGATATCTCTCCTTTGGGTGTATCCCTGTCCCTGTGCTTGTCCCTGTGCTTGTCCCTGTCCCTGTGCTTGTGTGTAGCCTGTATAGCCTGTATAGCCATAGGCAGGTGTCACTTCCCTTGCGATAGGACTCAGACCGTTGAGACCATTGATGTTGGAGCTGTAGCCGATGCCGTTGGTATAGCCATACGTCGGAGAAGCGCCAAGGATGAACGTCCCGCTTTGTCTTAAGCTCCCGGGGGTCAAGGCAGAGATTGCAGAAGGGGGTGACCCCGCTGCCCCACTCACCCCCACTCCCGACCCACTCGCAGCATCACTCCCAGCAATCCCAGCCCCATCCAACAGCGGCACCAACCCCTCAGGTGACCATCCCTTCTCCCCCCGCCCTCCCTTCCCCTCTTTCCCAGTCCGGGCTCGTCTTCCTGTTTGGGAAAGTACAGGCCCAGGATAGGTATGATGTCGCAGGACGTTCTCTCTCGGTCTTGCGTTTGGGTTTGCGCTGTCTTGCGTCCTCGTCCCCGCCCCTGCCCCTGCCCCCGGTCCAGGTCCAGGTCCAGTTCCGGGCTCGCGGGTAAGAGCCAACGGCGGCAGCTCATAAGGCGTTATATGCCCCCGCCCCCGCCCCCCCCGCCCCCCCCGCCCCTCTGTCCCTACTCTCCCTTCTCCCAATCGCCGACCTACTAATCTTCCTCGCCAATCTCAACCCCGCGTTTTCCCTCTTCGGCGAACCAGACCTGCTCCCCCCCGGGAGAAGATAGGGGAGTAGGTGTCTAGGAGTGCTGTTTGGGCGGCTAGCAGGGTTGGGGAGGGCTCGGACGGGGCGGAGGGGGGGGGTGCGGGCTGGGGTGGGGGTTGGGGAGGGCGTGAGGCGAGGGAGGGGTCGAACGTTATTTGCCCTTGTCCTTGGGGGTGGGAGTGGGCGTGCGTGAGGGAGGAATGTGTGTAGGTCGAGGATGGGGGGGCGAGGTGCGATTGGGATTGGGACTGGGATTGGGTGTGCGATGGGGTTGGTTGGGAGGGAGAGAGATGGGAGTGGGTTTGGGAATAGGTGCGGGACTGGGATGCTGATTGGGATTGGGACTGCGAGTGATGGTCCTGCTCTGGGCGTGAACTGCTCGACTCGCTCTCCTCTCTTATCTCTGGCAGTTGATAAGGCGTGACGATGTCCTTCCTACCCGATCCCCACCCTTGCGGCCACCTCAACCTCACCCAATGCCCCAGTCCCAACTTATGTGAAATACTCCCAGAGCGTACCGCATCAGAAGTAGCGAACATCTGTGAAGGCGCTTGACGGGACTTCCATCTCCGTTTGAGGAAGTAGAGGGTTATCCATATTATGAGCAGGGCGACTATGGGGATGCAGACGGAGAGGACGACGGTCATGTGCATATGGTTTGTGGGGGTCATTGTATCTGTGGGACGTGTTTAGGGGGGGG